ATGAACCTTGTTCAATGCCATCCATGGCGATTCTATCAACTTCTTCCTTATACATATAATACATAATTAATTCATCTCCCCTATGCTTAATCAATACTACCTCCTTATGGATTTAAATCCCATATTTCGATACATCTCAATTTAACAATTGACAAACATTATAATTTCAAGTGGTCAAATCCCATAGGATTAATCATCAATTATTCTATTTATTTCTCTGCATGAACCATCTCACTTTGTTTAAGTGTACATCATCCATCAAGGACTTATAACTTCTAGTCAACATAAAATATTCAAACTCATGCCTAAGCATATCTGTTCACCATTTTCAATAATCCAACAGGTTCTAAACCTTTCACCTTGATGAAGTCTATTCACCAATTCCATTGTACACACTATACTACACACATACTTGGAAGCTTTACCCATACCATTTCCATACTATGGACTCATCTCAATTATATATCTTTATTATTCATGGTACTACAAGGTTCATCCATGCAATACCGTACATATCATAGATTTGTTTACAACTTTCACTTATAATCCAGCATTATAAATTTCATCTACAAGGTCAGACGAAACATTTAAGTCTGTTTCCCATAAGTCCTATAATATTCATATTTTACTTACTGCCATCTCTTGTCCATGGAGCAGTCAACACTGCATCCACAACATCAGGCTAAGGACTTACATTTGGTGTTCCAAGGTTGCCACGCAGGCTTCTTACGATGACTACGCATGTAACACAAAGGAATGGGTTGATCAGACCCACACTAAGGAATCACATATGCAGTAATCGATAAGAATCTACATACAACTATGCAACACACAACACAACTATATATTCATTATCAGAGTTCCCTAACAAAACTGCTCTGATACCATAAAATGTAACAGCCCGTTACGTACCGGTATTGTTAACATTAATTATGATATTAAGCGCAGTTACAATCACAGCAGTTCATTTATAAAACGCGAATAAATTTTTTTCGATTATTACGCGAGCATTTAAAACATAAAAAGGCGTAATAATTAAAAGCTGTGACCGTAACCATAAACTCTTGCGGAAGACTTATTTAAACTATTTTTATCACTTACGTTACTTATTATAAGTTACTAAGGAGTTCCCATAAACTCACTTAGCCAATTTCCAACTTCACGTTTTACACCAATTCGAATATGTTACACTCTAAGTTTTTCTGCGACCAAACAGATCGCAACCAACCCTACTTCTCAGATTATATCTTTGTGTTACTTAATTCCCTTTTTAACAAGCTAAAATACGCTCAATTCGGAGCTCATTTGCTCCGGTTATCGCCGTTTGAAGTTGGATAAGCAATTAGCCCAAACAACCCCAAAAACAGCTCCAAACCACTCACATTGCTCGAATTACTGCACTCAATCCACTCAACCATTTGCCCTCAAATTTTTATCCTACAAACTAGGCATCTCAAACTTCATTTTGATATATCACACGCTCAATTTGACTGAGAAACGAAGCGGGAATTAATTTCCCAAATCCGGTCCAGAATCTGCCTCAGGTGCAGGGGCACATGGGCAGTCCGTGTTTCTCTATTTTTTTCAGGCCGAAGATCAACCCAGATTTTCCTCAAACTTGGAAACAAGGTAGAGGACATCTCAACCTTCAAAATGGCGTATGGCACGTCCCTAGGGGACCTCTATGGAGGGAGATATGCTCTCCCGAAGTTCGCCTAAAATCTGCCAATTCTACAGAAAATTCGCCAGAGTTTCCTTTGTTTTTCCAATAATCCCAAATTTGTAAAAGATCATTTAAACCTCAAATGTACCTAATAAACACATGATATTACAGTAATAATCCAATGGGTGGCACACACAAGGACCAACAACGCCTTGGGGCACTTACAACCCAATCCAGTTTATAGTTATTAAACATAGAGTCCATATTAATCATTCTTAAGTAGTTGCAATCACTAACACCTTTTTCATGCATATTTCCATCATACATATTATCATAACCTAAAATAAGCCTAAGGCCCTTCCATCATAATTAGACATGCATCAATGCTATTACAATATGGCTTTACAAATTACAACTTGAAACTAAAACTTCAAATTACATTCTTCTAAAATTTCAACTTAATTTAAAAGACAACATAACCAAATACATCACTACTAGACTTAGGCAAAATGGCATGAACAAGATGCTAATGAAGCTACTAATAAATACAAATGACATGTTCATGCCCTAAGTCTAGCCTAGGCCACACGGCCAACAAAATGCAAAATAAGAAACGCTCCATCGCTCACTCTGCGGGCCTCTTGCCCGAGGCTCCTGCTCCACTGCTACCTCCTGAAATAAATGCCCCGAGACGGGGTGAGATATACAAATATATCTCAGTAACCAAGAGGTTCTGGAGAAAACTCCACCCAATGGTTCACTTCGATGCATATCAATAGAATACAACAACCACTTTGAAAACGGGATATAGCAAGGGATTTAGAGAATGGGGAATATAAAGAAAACAAAATACGACGATACGGGATGGTAACCCCAATTCCACGTACGCCCTCGGCATATATAAGCCTATGGGTATCATCCAAGGTGTGTTCACAGAAACCACAACCATGATGCCCAAACCAACCAAAACGCCAAAGACATTCCTAGTGTGCTCCTACCCGGATCACACACCATGACACGCGGTCAACTGGAACTCCCTCCTGGAGACCTATCCAGCGGAAGTCCGAAAATGCCCGAAGGCTAATAAAACTGTCTACTGGCCAGAGACTCGGTACATAAGTACCCATAGCAATAATGCATGCATGCTCATGTGTTCTATACTATTCATATACACTTCCTACCGTTGCCATCAACTGGCAAGGTGGAACAGAAAAGGGGAACAAGCCCCAGTACCAAGAGGTTACCTTAATTCGTGTTTCCACAAGCTCCGCAGCAGCTTATCCCTCAACTCGGTACACAGCGGAATGCCTACACAGAGGACATTCCCAATCACTCTTAGATCAACCAATACATGTTAATTTATAATTACACATGCAATGAACCAATTTCTTACCTCAATCCACTTGGTCCCAGACCAAGGGCAACTCACTGATTCAAGATTCGGGATTCAGGTCGACGTACGGCAACCTATACAATAACGTACATCCATCAGTACTCGTCAAATAGTATCAAAACACAAAATCACAAAAATCCTCCCCATCCTCCCTTGATGGTTCGGCCATTGTAGTGTAAATGTGAGATTTATTTTTCTAAATTTTCTTTCTCATTTTGTTACGTCTCATTAGGTTGTCAATAGGCCAGTTCAAGTGCCGGTTCATCATTTTCGCGTCGAATTACATCAAAACGCGAAAATCGCCAAATCACCCCTTTTCCCCTTGGAGGTTCGGCCATGTAGGTGTAAATTTGAGATTTATTTTCCTAAATTTTCTTTCTCATTTTATAACACTCCCTTAGGTTGTTTTGAGGCTAGTTCAATCGTCGTTTTTCCGTTTTTCGACATTTACGCATCGTTTTGCGAAATATTTCATTCTGGGCTCATTTAGGTCTCTAACACAATTCATTCTTTTCCATTGATTCAAACACTCTCCAAGCACAACACAACCCATCTAAGCACCATATAACTACTCAAATCATCATCCAAATCATTTTTCAACATCAATTCTTCAATCTTTCTTAAAAGAATCGAATTTTACCCTATGGCATTCCAAGGAATTTCCATACAACTTTAATCATTCCACACCTCATACAATCCTATTATATCAACATACAATCATACAACAACTCATCAATCCAATCCTAACACATTTTCAAAACTCAAAGTCATGACAACCTCAAAATTTTCTAAGTTAAAAATTCACATTTTTCATCAATAAATTTCATCGCATTTCTAGCTTTAATACATCATTCTAACACATTATCATCTAATACACATTTTCAAATTGAGCTCTCTAACACAACACATCATCAAATCAAGCTTTAGGTTTCCAAAAATTCAATCACAATTAAACCATGTAAATGGGATAGAAACATACTCACAACAAAGGCTAGAAGCTAACCCAAGACTCCTCCAAGCAATGGAAGATCAAAAGCTCCATGGACAACCATTTTTTCTCCAAAATTTCGTGGCTGTAAATGGCCAATATCTCCCCAAATACACGGTTTCAAGGCTCAAGAGTGGTACCAATGTGTTTAGAAGGTTGTTTCCAACAAATTTCAACACAAAAATCACTTGATTTGGTTAAGAAATGATCAAGTTATGGTGAAAAGAAAATTTGAATGCAAATGGGGTTTTTGGGGGAGGGGGCTGCGGGTTTCATGAAGAAGAAGGGAGGAAAGTGATGCATGAATAGTGCCAAGCACATGTGGCTTAAGTCACTTAAGTGGGGTGGGTCCCACCGCCACCTCACGCGATTTAAAACTAATCCGAATTTTCCTCCGATTCCACTAAACGTCCGTAAATTCACAACCTATTTAGAAACTCAAATTTTTAACATTAACTATTCCCCTTTAATTAGGCTTGATCAGATGAATTAAGAGTCCTCCATTCGTTCGGAGAAAACACTGTTTTAAGCTATTACGCGCGCCATTGGCACGCTTCCCCAAACTGTCTTAATTTCATCGAATATTATAAGAAGTCATATTTCCTAACTCATTAGACCATTTTTAACTCATATTTGAAACCTAGAGCTCAAAATTCAACTGGCACGTTTTACGGTGCAATCGTAACGCGATATTTTTACCCGCGAAAAACACTATTCACTGATTTTTCTGAAACTTGCCCATCCACTCAATTTTTCGTTCTGAACCCATTTCCAGGGTTATTTTTACCATCTGAGACCTTCTACTCAATTTTTATCTTCCTAGGGTTGCGTGTTGCTAATTACCATTTTGCCCTTTCTTTGTATTTTGACCTAATCTTTTGGATTTTCACTAATCCATCACTTGATTGCTCACTTAATATTTTAATTACTTGATTTAAAATTGTGAGGTGTTATACTTTGCGCTTACGCATTTGAGATGGAACCACCCCAAACCTCATTCCTCTAACGCGACCTGAGTGCTCCTTCCCAAACACAATTTCAAAGGCTTCATCTTCATCAGATGCATCTTCAATTTCTTCTAGTAATTCGTCCTACAAAACAAAATCAAATATTAATTCAACAGGGATGTATAGCTTCCTTATTCACAAAGAACATACTTACATTCTTTGATCTAGCTTCCTCACTAACAAAGCTGCCATCTTTTTTCTTATGCCCAATGGTATACATTTCCCCCTTACTAATTTTGCGTCCAAGTTTTTTTTCCTAAAGCAATGACAATATGGTAAATGTTAGTTAAATTCAAACAATGTCAGATATAAATAAAAAAATTATAATTTACGGAAATACCAATTCGTGTTTTGTCTTTGCAATAGATTTAGCACCAAGTGTATGCATTATAGTCTGTTTTGCTCGATTTCTTGTATTAATCTCACTATATTTCTGCATTGTCCCACAAAACATAATTACAGGTAGTCAAGTAAACCACATTAAGAAAATATATGCATGCTTATCTCATTACCTGTGCTTTCTCACTTGTCTTATAAGTCAAAAAACCAGCCCACTGCTCTCTAGTCGTACCGTATGGATAATTTTCTAGGTTTTCCTCAAAAGTTTTGTTTTTGTCAATAAAATCAACACACCTGTGCCTATTATCCTTCCACTTTTTACCTATATTTCCCATACAATAGTCGTGCTCGTCATCAGTGCAAAGGTCAAACTTTTTCTGCAATGTGAAAAATATTCAGAAACAATTCATAATAACTTAAGGTCACTGAAGTAAATTAAAAGAACATATATACCTTAATTGTGTTTTCCCAAACATCAGTCTTATAGCAGGGAAGTACATCAGGCCACCTCACATAACTTATGGGGAATAGATTAGTGTTACATGCAAGATGTCCCAAAAAGCCATTCAAAAGTGAAGAACCATCCCCAATAGGTTGACCATCTTCAGACCATTGTACCAAAACCTTCTTGTGTTCCGGCAGTACCAAAACATCCTTGATCCTCAATCTTTCCTCGGATTTCCTTCCTCTATCATCTATAACATAATATTTAGTGTTTTTTGTTAGTATAAAAATAATGGCACAGGCATACATAAAAAAAATTAAAACTCAATATAGATATTAAATGGTATACCTATAACTTCAACAACCCAGTATTTGTTGCATGCTCTCTTAACCCGTTGTACTTCAAGTGGTACATCAGCTGGTTCTTGGGATGGAGAATGAACTTGATCTTCTTGGCCTACATTTTGTATGGCAACATTGGACTGCACATTTTGAGTTTCTAGGATTGGAGGAGTAGATGATGTTGTTGAACTTTTTCTTACTGTAAATCTCCTTATGCGCGGCATTTGACCTAATCATTTTGTCCCAAATATAACATGGTAGCATGCATTTACGTATTTAAAAATCATCCACTACACAATATGTATTAGAAAAAGTTCATAATATTTAAGCATTAAGAAACTGAATTGCAAATAATAAGTGTAACATCCCGTCTAATTATAAATTTATTTAAATTGCGATTAGGAACGGGGTAAAGTACTTGCCTTCGGATTATATAAATGCTTGCTTTAAGATGGAGCTAAATTAAATTAGGGAATTATTCGTATTAACATGGAAGGTGAGTACCTATTTTATGCATGTGAAATTCTAGCTATGAGTATAGGAATAATTTGATCATAACGTATAGAAAGCATAATACTACGTAGAATTATATGAGTACTCATTAAAAGTATATGATTAATTTTATTATGAGCGAGTATACGTGAACATTTTAAATGATTCAAGATACTAGTTAAATAAGAATAGAATTACAATTAATTATAATACAATAAGGCAAGGGTTAGTTCCTAAGATAGGATAGCTTATGGACAAATATTCTTGGACCCAATTCTGGTGATGGCCAACGGCCCAAGTGCCCTAAGTGGGACTTATGTGCAGCCTTAAACTCTTACCTAATCCTCACACATTATCTTTTCCTAAAAGTTTACAAGGCTGTACACTATTGGTTTAAAAGTCCCACATGGCAAGCTCATTCCCCTTGTAATCCCTTGGTATGCGCGTGGGTTGATAGAAAAGTTTGATTTATTGTAATCCTATGCAACCTCAAATCGGCCTGGTTAAGTATGTAACCAATGAAGGAAATGTAGTCAGCTTGCATGAAATATTATTGGCCGAAAAACCTCATCTCACCTTATCCCTCCAACCTCATGTGCTTAGGGGGAGCAAATAAGTCGGATCCTTTCTTTCTTGGGGTCATTATATTCAGAAGTCCAGCAAGCCATCTGTTTCTTATAAGGCCGCAGATTTCCATGAAGAAGACTCCATCCACTAGATAACAAATCCTTTATTCTCAGACACCTATTTGGCTGAACACAAACCACAACCTTGTATGTTCTTTTCTCTCCGTTCCTCTTCCTCCAAGTCGCACATCATCAGGGGGAAGCATGAGAGCATAAGCTCATCTTTCATACCTCACTGTTCGGTCCTATAGCAACGCCTCAAGAGATTGAGACCTAAGCACATTCATCTTCTCTTTCTTGTGCAGCAGTAGACCAACACCCTTGAAGATTGGAGCGCAAGCATAAATCCTTTCCTTTTCTATTTTGTGTTCGGCTGTATGCGCTCATCAAGGAGATGGAGTCACCTCTCTCATTGCATGCAGCTGAAGAACCGATCCCTTGCAAGGAAGATGTTTTATTTTAAATTCTGGTCTACCTCCCTTTGCATGCAAGAACAAGTGAGCATCCTTTTCCCTTCTGTTTCTGTTTCTATTTCCTGCGCATGAGAGTGAGGGGACTGCTCCTTATGTTGTTTCTGTTTCAATCCCTTGGCATGGAGAGGGACGAAGGTACTGCTCTTAGTCGTGGTGGCTGTTTCGCTGCAATCATTTTGTTGAGGTTTTGACTGCAGGTGATGAGGTAAGAATCGAATACCAAGCCTCTGTTTGTTTCTGCCACTGTTTCGGTCTGCATAAGGGTCTTAGGAGGATTCTGTTTTGTCATTCTATTTCCTTGTTTATGCCCTTGGACCACCGTAGAATCTAGAGCACACACACACCAAAAAATCTGGCTTAGGGACTTAGAAAATAGTCCCTTAATGTTGCCGAAACAGTGGGACAGCATGCTAAAGACCCTACTCACTCACATTTAGGACAGGTAGCCAATGTTAAGAGAATGAAAAATTGTAAGCACCTAATTAAAGGCTGAAAACCGAATCAGCATGCTAGGGAGTGTTAATCATCGTTTCTTATTAACAATTGTAAAACTGAATCCGAAGTTGGAAAATTTACCTAATGTAGGAAACATGAAAGACCGCACCTACATGTGTTGGGAGATACTTTGGGTTTTATTACGGTTAACTAATTTTATAATGTATTAAGTCAAAAAAAAAAATTGATTAGCTTGTTGTCATTTCATTCCCTTGTTGCTGCCATATTGAAACTGATTTGGGCCTTGTGGTTACAAGCACAAAGGGTTGATTTTGGAGCTTGAAATAAAGTCTCCATTGGGAGCTTGCTGTTTGTTAAACTATAATGAGGTGTCTAGTGTTGGAATATGTTGCTATGTCTAGCTTCACATGAATTAAATTTATCTTGACAGCATGCTTTAGGCCTTTGTTAGCGCACCATAGGTAGTGATGTTGAAATTGTGAATAAAATATATCACGAGTCTTTTTGGTGTTGAAACCCGAATGGCCTTGCATGAGGAACCTTGAAATTTTGCTGTTAGCTAGTTAATAAAAAGGGCATGAAGTCAGAAAAACAAGTTAGTACAAGACTCTTGGAAATCCTTTAAATACTAAGGCTTGGAAGCATGGATAGCACTTGAAAACTTTAGGAATCAACGTTTGAAATTCTGATTTGGTGTATATGCTTGTTTAGGTGCGCAAGGTCCTAAATAATTGGACTGTTTGATGATATTTGGAATGCTTAATTAAAAAGGTGAAAGACACAAGGTATGTGTAGGCGGTATTACCTAATGTGACTATTGGCTAGTGTATGGAATTGTGATGTGTTGCTCACATTTGTTCTATGTATGTTATGATGATGATGAGCCAATGGTAAGAATATGAAAGGATGATATGATATATGCATGCATTTTACATCACAATACATTTTTCTGTTGGGTGCGATTGCATAACATGGCATGTATACTTGATTCATGACATCTTGAATATATATATATTTGTATTGAGGACATGTGACTGAGCATGCATCATATAGGCATGCCTGGTACCAGGAGAGGGGACACTTGGCTTCAGTCCGCATAGGTTCCATAGTGGGATTCACCTTCATGGGAGCCATTAGGAATACCCACTGTGATGCTACGCGCACGACGGTGCTATGAGCGTAAAGGAAAAGGGGCGTTATATACGCGTTATGATATATGATGAAAATGATTAAATGTTTGAAGTGACTATTTATGATTTTGTGCCTAGTTAATATTGTTGCATTATGGTTTTGTTGCCACACTACTGGGATTTTCTCTCACCCCTTTGGGGCTGCTATTTTTACAAAACGGCAGGAGGACGTAAAAGCTTTTGAGGACTTGGATATTTGTTGTTGGCTTCTACTGTTTTGGGCATGCTGCTATTGATGTGATATTTTATGGATGACTGTATGAAATTAAGAAGCTTTGATTACTGTGAACTATGATTTTATTATTGCATTACGATTTTATGACCAGCAAGTATTTTGGAAACAGATGTTGAAACGTTTGCGAAAAGGATTTTGACATGTTATTTAAATGCTGAGTTTTGAAAAGTCTTTGCGAGCACTTTGTAAGTTGTCGTACTGGGGCTACGGACCTCCGATTTTCTTATAATTTATATGCACGCGTAGCCCCAGGTGTCTAGTTTCATTATATATAAACCTTGCAAAGAAATTCTGAAAGCTCGATTTATTATGAAATTTTTCCAGCCAGGACGTTTGTGATATTTTCTCTACTTTATCTCTTATTTTGCGAGTTATGTTTCGAGGGGCGAACGAACTCCAAATCACTATTATTTTATATGAACGTGAAGCCCCAGATGTCTAGTTTCCATATTACAAAGAATATTTTTTTGAATCGTTGATCTGGATTTTATACGAATTTTTAAAGACAGCAAGGTCTATCGGGAAATTTATATTTTCAGTAAGTTTAAGAAATTTTGTGTACTCTGATTTTTGTAATTAACCAGATCCCCGCTTTAGTTTTAATTAGCAATGTAAAAGCGACATTTTTTTTTCAGTCTCTAAAATACTATTAAAGAACTCTAATTCCGCTTAGCAAACAACTCTCTTGGAGGCCTACAAGAGAGGGTGTTACACTAATTGGTATCAGAGCAGTTTTGATTCAAGGTGTTGGTATTTGGTGAAATATTTGTTGGCTGTACATGTTTGCTGGATTGTGGTTGTTTAAATTGATTGGTTGTTTGTACATGTTCAATGAATTGTTGCTGTTTAAATACACCAGTTGAGTGGACTGTTAGCTAGAACTTCTTTGTTCTTGGGTGCAATGGTACTTGTGGTTTTCGGTTTTAAGCATGGATGTGCACACCTTAATGTTAGGAGGTGAGCCTGATCAACTCGCCGACTTGTAAGGGGTGTGTGCACAATCATGGTTATTACCGGGCATACTTGTGCCTGAAACACTGCGTGTCAAATATTAAATTGTTACTTGAAATAATAGTAAGTTGTAAATTTTGTTCCCCATGGATTATATAGAAGGTTATAGGTATGTATATCTCTGAGATGATGTTTAATGAGTGTTCGTGTGATAGTGTAACCTTTCTGAAATCGTTAACTGAGTTCTTGGAAATTTGATATGTGCCCATATGTCTCATTCTGCTTCTGTCTAGAAATGTTTGTACTTTGAATTGAAATAGGACTTGTGAAACTCTGATTCTGGTGGAAATAAATTCTGTTTAGAGATTTGGTATCATAGACATGTGAATTCTGATTTCCGACCATGAATTCTGACCATGATCATGAACAGCGTAAATTTGTATTTGACATGTGTGTGTAAATTAAGTTATAGGTAAATTAAGACTAAAACATGTGAGATCGATGTTAATACAAACTTCCTCACGGTAAATTGACACTAGACATTATTCTAGAGAAAGAAGCTCTGAAACAAAGTGATGATGTGTTGACAAGTACAATTGTAGTTGTATAGACTGTCTAATTTTTGGTAATTTGATCTTACTGCTATATTATAAGTGTACCATTAAAAATGTTAAACTCAAGAATTTAAAATTGATTTGAATGGTTTCTGAATACCTTAATTAGCTTATATAAAGAACCTAGTTGCCATTGGTTGTGTAAATTTTTTTCACTTGAAACATCTAAATCCTTGCCTTTTTCATT